CAGACTGGGCGGCATGAGGCGAGCTTCCTCCGAGACTCTATTTTGTGGCTTGCAACCTAGAAGTTGAGTGTTGAAGACGGAGAGGGATGGAGTCTGGGGCCTGGATTCACTTTTAACAGCAGAGCCTCCTGACAGCCATCTTTGTTAGACATGAGGATAGGAAGGCCATCAGTACTAGAAGGTCTGCATGTGGCAGCAGCTAGTGGTGTAGAGTCACCTGGTACCCAGGTGCATGCGGCCAGGTACTCCTTGTGCTCTGAGATTCCTCACAGCACCCACCTGCAACAGCTTCATAACAAGGTGAAAAGCTCAGGAGCCGGGGGTCCTCCCAATGAGCAATAAAGACTAGGGATCCCTGGAATTTTGTCCTGGGAGTTTGAAAGTCCCTCAAGTTTTCCTTCAGGGGAAGCCTCTTCACTTTGCTTTTATGTGGCATGCAACAGCAGGTGAAGGGCTACACAAGTGTGTCAAGCAGCTTTCTGTGACTGTAACAAATACCTGAGATACTTAATTTGTGAACACAAAAGGTTTATTTGGGCTCAGTTTTGGAAGTTTCTGTCCATGATTTGTTGGCTCCGTTGCATCTTGACCTGTGAGTGGCACATCTTAGTGGGAATTTATGGTGAAAGAAAATGTCTCTCCTCAGGACTGGGTGTGAAAGAGAGAAAAAGGAAAGGGTTAGCATCTCACAGTCATCCCAGTGCCATGCCCCCCGTGACCTGCAGACTGTCCATGAAGCCCAACCCCTTAAAGCCTCACCCCACCTCCCAGTACTACCATGCCAGGAACTAGACTTTTCATACATAGGCCTTGGGGGACACCAAGGCCAGATCCAAACTTTAGCAGCAGTGGTGTGCACACAGCTTTTTATAAACTTGCTATGCCTCCTGTCAGCTTCAGAGGAAGTGTCCAGAGGCTTACTGGGTCCTCTGCTGGTGAGATAACGCAGGAAGTCTTCCAACTAGACTCCTTTTAATGTCCCCACAGGCTCCTGCTACCCTGCCCACTGTCACGCTGCCACGCTGCTACTGCTGGGTTGTATACTTAGGGGCATTTCTAGATTCTCTGCAAGGTGTGTGAATTTTTTTTAATAAGAGATAGGATATAAAAAGGGATGACCTAAAATTGACACTACTTTTTTTGTACCAGGGATCAAACTCAGGACCTTGAGCTTGCTAGACAGGTGCTTAAGCCACTGAGCTATCTCCCTGGCCTCTTGACAGTACATTAAGATATAATCTTTCATTTGCTATGATTATAATAATTCCAAATATTTTTTGAGAATCTGGAAAAAAATTCAACTGAATTGGCCGGTCTTTTAACTTAAGAAAACTCAAGAATTCTGCGATTCCAAGTCTTTTCAAGAAAAAAAATTCGTTGAAGAAAATATTTTAAGTGACATCTTCTTCAGCTTTCCCATTCCTGGGGAACTATCTGAACACGACAATTGCAAAGGAGAGGCTCACTTCGACTCACGGTCTCCGTGGGTGCAGTTCTTAGCCGGCTGGCCCCACGGCAGAAGCAGCACGCCAGCAGGGCGAGGCGGAGGTTTTCAGCCTCCACAGTGCTGGGATTACAGGTCTTGGTGGCAGGCTCAGTGTGCCTGGGAATGGGGCTGGAGGGGTCTGTGGCGCCGGGTATTGAAACCAGGGCCTTGCACTTGTGTAGGCAGGCGCTTAGTCGGCTGAACTATCTCCACGGCCCTGTATTGATGAATTTCTTACAAGTCCTATTTACCTATTTATTTATTTATCTTGTATTTTTAGGTAAGGGTCTACAGGATGTTCAGGGTCTCACTACTAGACAGGACTTGTAGTGATCCGCCTGTTTACAGCCTCTCAAGAGCTGGGATTACAGGCGCGCGCCACCACACAGACTCAACCGCTGGGTCTCAGCTCGCCACAGGGGGCGGGGCCGGCATGCAGGCCCGGGGATCGAACCCCTGGCCCCTGCTCCTGCTTGCAGACACTTTAATCCGCTGAGCTATTTGGCCGGCCCTGCCCATCTTTTTTTTAAAAAAGGCAGTCTGACCCAGGACATCAGTGGCCCAGCTCTGGGTAGCATCAATACCAGAAAGTAAAGAGAAACAACCACAAATAAAGGAAAGTCTACCTTTTCTTTGAATGTCTCAGCTTTTTCTCATCCTGCTTCAGAGTCCTTGGGCTCAAATAATAGAAATGGTGTCTTGTAGTCTTAAACTGCAAATGTATTGGAAGGCGCTTTGGGACTTTGTGAATCTGAAGGTTCTGTTTGGAAGAAGTAGGAAGCACGGACCCACATATTGCGGGAGCCCAGGATGCTCAGGAGGGCAGGAGTGTGGGGTTTCCCAGCAGACGGGGGCTCTCCCAGATAGCTCCACTTCAGCGTGGAAGGGCGGCAGCAGGCGAGTTCATGGCCTTTGTTCTTTCAGCCATGTGCTAAAGGAAAGAGGAGGACTGGGAGTTGCCGGGAGCTTTGGGTCTTCCCGGCAGCCGGCAGCTGTGAGGTCTGGGTCCCCTCATTGTGCCTGCGCCTTGCCTTTACTCCTCAAAGAAGCCAACTAGAAACACTCAGTTGCTTCCTGGCCTGGCGCTAGCGGGAGGATCATTCCCCAGCTGGAGCAGGGTGGACCCTGCTTCCCAAAGCACACACGGGGCCACCATCCAGAGCTCCTTTCTAGGATTTTCTGTTTATGAGTCTCCTCCAGATTGGCTGTAGTACATCCTGGTGCCCCCCACCCCCACCCCTGTGCATGTATGTGTGGTCATGTTCTTTCTGAAAAGAATTTCTCAACCCACTCTTACCCCTTCCTCACCCCTCTTAAGTTTATATGTCCTGAAAAGAGTATAGAGAGGTAGTCTTTTTTATTTCATATAGAGTTGGCATATATGTAATAGCAAAACTATAACAGCATCCTTTATAGTTTTTTGTGTTTTTTTTTTTTTAAGTCTGGGAAAATATAAAGATTCTTAACATTTTACAGCATGCCATTCTGAGCATAAGAACATTCATATAACTGTGCTGCCAACACTCCGCTCTATTTCCAGAACTTTCTCATCTTCCTAAGCTGAGACTCTGTCCTCTTTCAACACCCACCCACCCAAGCCCTTGGCAACCCCAGCCTGCTCTCGTCCCTAAGGATGACTTCTGGGGAACCTCCTGTAAGCAGATACAGCACTTGTCCTTGTTTAATCTAGCATACTGACCCCAAGGCTCCTTGTGGTGGCAGGCGGCAGGTAACTGGCTAAATGGTACCCCACTGTTTGTGTGGGCCACGTATTGTTTATCTATCCATCTGTGCACTTGTTTCTTACCCTTTGGTGGTTGGGCATATTGTTTCTGTGAACATGGATGTGCAGACAGTCTTTGGGAATGTCAAGTCTTTCTCGCCCAGGGGAGATTTGCATACTCTAGGGTAACACTTTCTAATGTCTCCATGTCTTGGCTTATAGAGAAATATAATGGTGATTACAACATATGACAAATATTTAAATTTTAAAATTTCATTACAATAAAAACACATGGACATTAATCCTGCCTCACAATACTTCTCACTTTGATGAACTTATCTGATTGCTTGTGCCACTTTCTGAAGCAGTTCTGGAAGTCTTCTTTTGTGAGTGTCTTTACAAATCATGTTAAAAATTATACTGGATGCTGCTGCTGAGTGCCATCTGATGGAAAGGGGAGGTTGTAAAAACATTATGGCGCGTCCTCGTGTCATTTACTCCCAGGATCTGGCACTGTGAAACTTCTGGCTCTTCCTTTAATTCAAAATAACCATGGAAGGCAAACATTTTGAATTGATTCAAGATACCAAGGCAGCCACGACAGCACAAGTAAAGACAATCGTGAAAGAGGACTTGAGGACTACTTCAGGAAAGGGCAAGAATGACAGGATAAATGTGTTAGAAACAAGGGATAGCACAGTAAGGGGGAATTCACGGCCAGCGTGAGCCTGTGGAGGAACACTCTGAAAAGGGGGCTCGGCAGGAGATCTATGGAGCCAAAGGAAGGGCAGATGGTAGCGGGACAAGGAATGACGCCACTGCTGTTGTAACGCCTGGGGGCTCTTCTCCACCTCATGTTTGCACAAGTCAGGTCTGTGCTATAGAAAGCATTACCATCCCTTGGGTGGTGGGGTGGGCTCACCTGCCTGGAAGGTGCCAGGAGACAGGTGTACAATGAGGAAAAGCCGTACAGGACCCTCACAGTAGGAAGTGATGACATGGCCACCAAGACCACACTCAATGCTTTTTTTTCAAATATTTTATTAATCTGTTTGGCCAAACAGTAATGGAAACTGAGAATAATAATTTGCTAAAAAGTTCAGGTCATGAATGCCCCTTTCCCCCAGGAAACTAAAGACTCCATGGTTACAGAATGCACCATTGGGTTATGACAACATTTCAAAATAATGTTTCCATTTCATATGTAACAATGTAAACTTCAAAAATAGTAAACTCTAACCCCAGGTCCCTCTTTACAGATCTATCACAGATAGAATTTTCTGGCTGACCTAAATTGTGTAAGGAAACAGCCTGGTGCTTAAAAGTTTCATAAAAAGGTTTACAGATGCAGTAAATATTTTTTTTTTCAGTCTTGGTCTTGAAGTAAAAGCCACCAGCAACTCCATTCCAGCATATCTGCCTTCTATGCATATTGTATCCCTTCAACCATGTCCCCAATACACTGGTCACCAGCTTCATTATTTTTGTACATATACGCACACATAAATAGTTTTGTTTCTAAAGATTTCTACATCTAAATTATAAGACGGCGCCAGTGACTTAGAATGTCACCTCGCTTCACATAGGTAAAGACGAAAATTCTGTAGAAGGCACTATAAATTCTCCTGCATGATCTCCCGAAGACACAAGAGTGCAGGCCAGCTGGGGTTGGATTTCCTTCCCTCCCTGTGGCCCACACAGGCCTCTTCTGTGATGGTTGTCATGTCCATTATCTTTTTCTGTTTCATCTCTTCTCACCCACCCATCCACCCACCCACCCATCCATCCATCCATCCATCCATCCAGATTAACTGACAGTTATCTTTTGGTTCATTGAAATTTCTTAAAATTAAAAGTACAGCTCTGATATAAAACAAAATATGACCTACTATAGCTGAAAAATAATCACAGTGTACAATGTCATTTCAGTTGCTAAGATTCAAAACACGCCTGTCTTCCAAAGCGGTCGATGCAAGGCTCATTTTAACCTACTTTACATTCATTGAAAAAGCGCTGAGAGGTTCTTTTTCTCTACCGTATTGAATTGGTTTCCATAAGTGGAAGGTCTGATGTGGAAAGTGCAAGCAAGTTGGACATGCCAATAAATACCGTAGAACTTACTGCAGATTACCAAAACTGTACAGGTATGTACACCTTAACCCACCGAGTCTCCTCCCAGCAGAAGACCAAATCATAACCGCTGGGGCTTCCCCAGAGTCTCAGAGGCGCAGCCCTAGCGTGCAAAGGAAGGGCGGGCTCTTCTGCTCCTGTTCTGGGGCCCCGAGCCCAGGTCCGCACCACCCTCTGCTGTCTCCTCCTTCTTCCTCACTTTGAGTCGGGTGAGCAGCTTGATCAACCAGACGTCCCACTCCTCTGGCAGGAGCAGGAGGAGGAAGCCCAGACCAATGATGATGATGGCGATGACCCGAACCCCGTTGAAGACTATCTGACTGGTGTAGTGATCCACCACTGTGGGAGACAGAGCTCTGGTTACTTGACAGCCGGGCTGGAGGCACAGGACCAGAGATGTTGGAGCACCCAGCTTTCCTGGGCAGCCCATGGTCCTCCGGGGCTGCACACTCCCCCTGTACTTGTTCCAGGAGGGTAAGGTTGCCTCCATTGAGTGCATTGCCTTGAACTCCCTAGAGCTGGTCTGGCCTGAAGCCTTTCACTTGTATTTTGCCTTCCCAAACTGATCTGGCTTTTGAGTTTAAGCACTGATTTGTGGGTGAAAGAAAATTAAAGAAAGAGAATCTGGGGATATATACATAGGTTTGGAATGCTAAACCTGAACCAGTTCCTGAAAGATAAGTCTGAGTTCCTGCTCCTCTCTGAGCATTAATCAGCATGAGGCGCTAGTGCCTTGGAGCCTTTGCCTTCCATGAGGGAATATGAAAGGCCTCTGGACTCATGGCCCTTCCCAGTTCATATTAAGTAAGGAACAAAATGGGAGGCAGACTCATATCAGCTTATAAAACTACAGATTGCCACTCTCCTGACAACCCAGCTAGCGCTTATAAGCACTGTGCTCTTGAGGTCCCTTCCTGTTCCGTGGTGGGTTTTTCTTTCTCTTTCTTGTCATCACACATTTGGGAGAGAGCCTTTCACACAAGCTGCAAAGGGAGCTTTTGTCATGCTCTCCTGGGAAAGAGAACCATAGACTTTGCAGTGGGCAGCTATTTATTTACTTGGTACAGAGTCTCACTACACAGCTCGCACTCATAGTGATCCTCCTGTCTTAGCCTCCCCAGCACTGGGATTGCAGGCATGTGCCACCATGCCCAGCTTTGGTGGCTGGTGCACCTGGGGTTCTGGGGCTGGCATAGCCCCTGCACTTACCAGGCAGGAGCTTAGACTGCTGAGCTATCTCCCCAGCGCCCAGTGTGCAGCTTTTAAATGGTGACTTACTGGACAGTGGGCTGGGGTTGGGGCCCAGCATTTGCTGGGTCAGGCCTGTCTCAGTCCCAACTACTTTTCCTCCTCCCCCTGCTCCTTCTCCCTTCCTAACTTCCCCCTGCTCTAGCAAATGAGCAGAAAAAGATTCAGGGGAATAAATGTTAAATGTGGGAAAACATTGGCAAGAGCCCTTTGGCACCTCTTTATTCCACCATCATTCAGCAATATTTTTAGTCTTCAGTACATTGTGTTAGTCACCAGGTGGGAGCAGTCACTCCGTGGTGCCATGGGCAGGTGTGAGGCAAGCCCTAAAGGCAAGCAATGGCTCTTTTCTGACAAGCTTGATAAGACACAGTTTTCTTTGTTTCTCTCCTCCTGTCAGGCTTTAGACCGGCCTGAAACACCTTATTAAACTGCTTGTGGTGCTGGTAGGTACAGTAGTAAGAAGTGATTCTGATTAATTTCATAAGCACCTGGCTAAAGCTTACAGTCAAAGTAAGTTTCTATGGGAGACCCACCTGGACGATATGCCTTCCCGTGCTAAGAACCTCCAGTAATTGTAAGTTAAAGACTCAAAGAATTGGGGGGAGCGTGTTGATAAGATACTTTTGAGACGCTTTCAGGATGGGCTACCTTTCTGCCAGCTGTGCAGGAGCTCTACTCTGTTCTGATATCGTCTGAAGTATCCTAGGCAGGCAAGGTCTTTGGTGGTCCACTAAGGAGCAGGTGAAGACCCTGGGATGGGTGAGTGGGGGCTGTGGAGCTGAAGGGATGCTGAGTACAGTGTCTCAAAGCCCCTCCAGACCTAAGCACACTGCTGTAAGAGACGAGCCAGGCAAGTCTCCTATAGAACATGTCAAGAGTAAGGAACCAGATGCCTGGAAAAACTTAGAAAATGAGGAGACCTTCTTTGGCCTGGACCTTCAGTCATGTATAAAACCGCTGCAAACAGGATAAGGACTGCTTCCCTAGGAGGCTAATGGTCCAGAAGGGAGAGTTTTAGGAGATAGCTTAGAAAGAAGCTGTACTCCAGGCAAGAATATTCTGGAAAGGGCGGGGGGGCTCTTTCCTGGCAGAGAGCTGCGCGCAGGGAGGCTGGGTGTGAGCTGGGGATACTGGGAAAAACTCATAAAGTGCAAAGCAGCATGAGCTAGGAAGAGGATTGAGCTGAGGTGCGGGGTAACAGAAGCTTGGGAGAGTCCTCAGCTGTGTGTTGGCAAGGAGGCCCCAGGGCAGGACAGAGTCAGCTCTGGTCTCCGGCAGAGGGCTCCATTGCTTTCTCCCAGGAGGCAGAAGGGGAAAGTGCTGCATCACACCCTAAGCACATCTTCTCCTCCTCCAGAAAGACACTTGAAAAATGTAATTGTTTGAGGCATGGTTTTCCTTAGTAAAAATACTGATGATATTCATTTCCACTCCTCATGGCAATTAGAATTGAGATAACTTTAGACTTTCTGTATCTTGGGGGGAGATACATGAAAATCAAACTGTCATGGAGAAAACGCCACGGGAATATACCGAACATCAATTTTTTAGCTAAATGTTTTTTTTTTTTCCTTTTGCAAAAGATTACATATGTGTTATATACCAGACACAGTAAGATACGTGAGTGTGAATGTTAGAGTATTTGTATGTGGGAATGTGTGTGTGTGTGGGGGATACATGCGTGTGCATAAGTCTCTGCCCTGTGTGTTTTTCGACAAGCAGCAAAGGAAAGCTACCTGGCATTACCTGCATTCACAGGAACACTGAGGACGATTCCGAGAGACATCAGCGTGGGATATGTAACAGCAATTCCAAAATTTAATACAATATTGAATGCTGAAACAGAGAAAGTTGATATTACTTATGACTACCCTGTTCTTTTCCTCCTCAGTGACTTTGCAAAGCACCATTTCTTGGGGGAGGCTGGAGCAGGAGTCATAAGGACCCTTTGTGGGATTCTGCACAGGGTGCGAAGATTTGGGATTAGGGAACAGTACTGTGACTGTTCAAGGCGCTCTCTTTCCTGAGCTAAGAAGGGAAAAGCAGCTCAGAAGCTGGGACACAGTAGGAGAAAGAGGATGGGGCCTTCTGGACAGATTTGCTTTGCTGCTGGCTGTGACTTCTGGGGTGGCTGTAGGACTGGGAACTTTGTGGTGTGGGTTTCTAGAGGATTCTGCTGAGAGCCTGTTTGTTGATTTTCTGCCTCGAGGTGGCCTTCCAGTAAGTGACAAGGATGATGACAATCATAATGACATCTGATCATATTTAATGAAAGCTGACATTCAGACAACATTCTAAGAGTTCCTTGAGTATTCACAGCTCCTTGCCCATGGTCACTCATGGGGAACAAGCAAGAAACTGGGCCGTCAACTCCCTAGCAGGGTGGCAATGATCACTGCCACCATGTCAAAGACTGTGGTTCTGGAAAAACTTTACAAACACAAAAATCTTGAAAAATCGCAAGAAACTTGAGACAACAGGGAACCCTATTTTTCTCTCTCAGAACACAGGCTTCCAAAGCGCTCTGTACATCACTGTTTTCTGGGGGTTCTGGACAAGGTAGCACAACTTACTCAATAAGAGAATGGAAAATCCACAAAGGTTTCCCCATGGAATGTCATCGAAGGAGCTCCAGTATTCCACTTTGGTGAAGTAGAGGATGACAGGGATGCAGGTGATGAAGAGGATGTTGAACACACCCAGGATGGAAAGGAATAAGGCAGCTTCTCCAAACTTCGCGCTGCCCAGCAGGAGCTTGAAGAGAACCTGTGGAGAAGGAAGGAGGGTCAGGGCTCCCTCAGGCTCCAGCTTGGTGAGGCAGTTTGTGCTTGGTACAGCTGGGGCTGCACTAGAGTATGGATGGCCATGGTTCAGGTAAAGTTTACCTCACTGGGCCACCAGTTCAGGGATTGTGGGGCCAGGCCTGTGGGCCTCTGGCCACATACTTGCATCTCCATCACAGAGCAATACAGAATGCAGCTGGAGAACCTTCTCGAGAGTCACAGGTATCCACACTAGTTGGTACTTGTCTTCATTGTGTTCATCTATGGCAACTGATATAACAGCCCTGACTACACAGCTCCTCAGGGCCCTGAACCTATATGCACCATGTGAAGCTGTTACCCCAAGAAAATGGGCTTTGGCAGTAGAGATCTTCTCTCTAGAGGTGAAGTGCAGGGATTTTCTCACCTGCTCTGTCCCACCGCCCCTGGGATGGAAAGACCACGGGTTTCAGCGGAACACACTGAACTTTGACTTCCTGTATCTGTTCTTCCTGTTCTCGCTGGCATCAGTTTGGACACTTGGAAGATCAGGAGAAGGAGGGCTGGAGTGGCTGGACTTAGAGAGGCCCAAGGTCCCCTCCAGCTGTAGCTTAGTGCTCTCGCTGACGTGTGTCTCTACGTGGATGTCCCTCTGGCTTTTCGCACCTTGTCCTCATCCAGCCATTTCACACCTCACACAGAGGTGTCCTGGCATGCATGCAGGGAGTGTGAAAGGGAGAGACAGCCCTGCAGCCTGCCAGCTAGTCCCTCTGGACAAATTTCAGGTGGCCAAGGATGCGGCATCAGGAATCTGAGTCAGAATATTGTGCTTTTTGTGGACGGCATTTCCACCTTCTCCACCACGAGCACACAGCTGACGAAGGCAGAGCTGAGCCTTGTGGTGTGTTCTGCGTTTGAGAGTGGCCTTGAATTCTTACAGTGACGCTCATCTATCTCACCCCCTTGTGAAATGTGTTCCAGGGAAAGAAAACAATGTACGTGTGGGTGGAGAGGGCATGGAGCTGAAGGAGGAGAAGGCAAATGGTTTCATTTTCCAGAAGCCCTAGCACATGGTGTTCATAGAGCTGGGATAAAATTGCTTTTCCTTATGACTTTATACAGTGCTTAATACTTTATACAGCCTTAGAGGGTCTCTAATCAGCTGTCTGGATCACAAAGGGCTGATATGTCTCAAAGCTAGTCACAAGGGGTGGGGGAGATGGCTCAGTGGCACAAGCACCTGCCTGGAAAGCGCAAGGTCTTGAGTTCAAAGATCTATCTATCTATCTATCTATCTATCTATCTATCTATCTATCTATCTATCTCTATCTCTATCTCTATCTCTATCTCTATCTCTATCTCTATTTCAAGTCACATTTCTCACTGAGTCCTTCAGGTCAGTTTCCTAACTTGAGACCTAAAAGTAGCTGTATTGTCTACTGTACTCCAAAGAAGAGAGGGGAAGTGAGAGGAGAGAGCAAGCAGGAGGCTTGGCCAGTTGAAATGGGGCGAATGGAGCTAGGGACCCCAGGGTGGGAGTAAATACTGTGCTTGTTGCTCCTAGACCTGCAGTGAGGAAATGCTTTCTCATATTATTGAATGTGCTGTCAAAAGATGCGTCTGCTCACTGAGCCTACTGCAATGTTTGAATCCAAGATGGAGCCATGCGGCTTGCTGGCCACCAAGCCCATGATATGGTCAGAGTTAAGTGACAAAGGGGCCTAGTCTTGTGTGTGGGAACTCATCTGAGCCAACACTGGGCAGCCTCAGAGGGTCTGGGTCCTCCTCCACCCACCAAATAATGTTGGTTACCGATCTGCCAGCCCAGCAGCACCACGCATCTTACTTCAGCTGCTGCAAGGGTGTGATCAGTGGTGGAAAAGTTCAGACAGCCAAAGCTGGCTGCTTGGGCCTGCTTGGTGCTCTCCACCCACTTCCTATGCACAGAAAACAGCAGTGAGTCCTCAGAGCACTGGTGCCATCTGGGGTTCCCTAGAGCGAAGCCCATCCCTGAAACACTCCCACTCTGGCTGGCCAAGAACTAGCCTGCTTGCCAAGCTGCTCCCCCTCATACCTTGTAGAGAGCCGACATGGATGCAGAGCCCACCACCAGAGCGATGCCGATGACGGAGTGGCTGTGGAAGCCATCGGCGTAGGTCATCATCACGATGCCCGCGATGGCGAGGATGGCAGCCACGATCTGGATGGGTGGAAGGAAACTGGGTCAGGGCCCTGGCGGGGAGTCAGATGGGCCACACGAGGCCAGTCAGCTGGAAGTGTTCATGGGGGAAGGTGGCATCTCCATCCCGGGCCTCCTGGGGAAGGACAGGTAGGGGTACCCCATGGACATGCTCACTGCTGCTTGGAGAGTCACTTAGCCAAGCTGGCATGACCAAGGACCTGAGCGGGTGGCAGCCAGGAGTGGGGCATGCTCAGCCTCAGGCCACGGCAAGTCACTGTGACTCTTGGAAACTTGCTGATACCTCATTCTGGTGACAGGTTAATTTGTCATGACAAGACCTGGTTAAAAGTCCCTGGATAACACCTGGAAACCGCCCAAAGGTGACCTCATGTGACCTTGCTCTATAATTTTGTATTTCAATAGGAAAGGCACAGAGGAGAGAGTAATGGGGTCTGATGGCGCACAGCATCTGGTGAGGGCTGTAGGCAGCATTGTGACTGCTGGAGTAGCTCTGTCTTTAGCTCCTAGGCAGGGTGTGCCCAGCAGAACAGATACGCGCAGCCAAGTCTCAACTGCTGAGTTTACCAAGAGATGTGTCCTTGTATGGGTCATTCAAAATCGATGTTAGCTGTCTGTAGCATCAAGTGCCTAAGATTTTTTTTTTTTTTTTCAGAACCGGGGATTGAACTCAGATCCTTGCATTTGCCAGTCAAGCGCTTATCCTGCTGAGCCATCTCCCTGGCCCCAAGTGCCTAAGATTTATTTTATGAGTTTTCTCATTTTATCCTCAAGATAGAGATACAGAGTATCTGCCTCATTTTACAGACATGAACACTTGCCTCACAGAGGTTAAATAATCTGCCCATAGCCACAGCCCTGCTGTGTGGAAAAGCAGACACTGATTTCAGGGGTGTCTGATGGCAAAGTTGGTGTTAATTGATACACACAGGACAGCCTGGGGAGCCTAGGAAGCTGTCACTGGCTGGGCTCAGGGATGCAGACTGAGGCTTCCTCAGTGGGTTCAGCCATTGGTTTCTAGGTTAGTAAGAGCTCATGTGCTTGAACTTCACATAGGGTATCTGAGTTGCACAGTTCTGATTCGTCCTTCATGCGTTACGTCTATATAACACCACATGTGCCTATAAAACAGGCCCAGAGGGTGGATGGTGTCCTGTGCCTAAGCTAGTCCTCATCTGTCTGCTTCTCTTTTCTGCCTTAGTCATTCACTACAGTCAGCTGCATCCCTCTGCACCACACACATGCAGATGCTTCACATTCAGGGGCTCCGTGGACCACATACGACTGTTCTCTAAGAGAAAGTCGCAGAGGGTGTAAGACATTAAGCAGCCATCCCTCCCACCAGAGGACAAGAGGGGCAAGTGACAAGCAGATGAAGATGAGGTGGCGTCTGCCCCAGAGGCCATACGTGATGCGAAGATGCTGCTCAGAACAGTTCAGCCTGGCTAAGCATCAAGACATGGTGCCCTAAGAGAAGAACACAGAAAAGAAAAGACAGGGAGAAGAGAAGAGCCAAACTTCCCATGATTCTGTGCATCTCCAAAAACTGCTGAAGTCTTTTGCAACTTCTGGCTGAAGTTGGGGGAATGAAGAACAGGTTATCTTTTCCCCATGACTTGCTGGGCAGGTTTCTAGCCTCTTCCTCTCTGCTACTGATTAAATAATAAGCAGCTAAAAGCTTCCACTTAAGCAGGGCTCATCAGAGCACTGGCAGAGAGGAGCTGGAGGAGCCAGAGTAAGGGGAAGAGGCTCCCCACTTAGGTCAGTGAGGAGCCACATGTCAGAGCCCCCATGGGTTCCTTCTGGCAGGTGGATCAGGGATGGTGACCTCTTTGGGCCCCAGCCACAAGTCACAAATCTCTGAATGGGGTGTGGTGGGTCTGTGGGCCTCAGCAGCTGTGCAGGGATGTGAGACCCTAGACAGGTGCCGAGTTCGCGGGGGAGCAGGGCCCTTCCTTATTCTCAGGATCCTTCAGAGCAGACCTGAGTCCAGAGCCTGGGAGCTTCCTCCAGCCTGGATTCCCTTGAAGATTTGTATTCTGTCATATAAAGCATATACTTAGCATGGGGTGGCGGCACACCCTTGTAATCCCAGCACTCTGGGAGGCTGGCCCAGGAGGCTTGCAAGTTTGAGCCCAGCTGGGCAACACAGCAATTTAAGGAAACCCTCTTTCAAAATAAAAAATAAAAAAGAGGCTTAGCATTAGTTCACGGTGAAGGCCCTGGGTTCAATCTCCACTACCGGCAAAAAACCAAACCAAACCAACCACATAAACAAACAAACAAAAAACCCCCCAAAAGCACATGCCTATTTATGTTATCTGTTCACATCCTAAGGCACTCGAACTTCTTGGTTCTCCCTTGAAAACCATTTCCAATGCTGCAGTGGGCTGTCTAGAGGGCTGGTGCAGTTTAATCTGTAATTTCCCACATAGTCCCCTGGGAGGTGCTGCATCTGCTTGTGGAAAAGGACAAGCACACACTGACGTGCCTCCTCCTTACCCCTCCTGTCCCACTGGATTATCCTGAAACAAGCATTTCTGGGTGACAGTGCCCTAGAATAGCACTGCCGAGAGCCACCACCTCTGCTTCACCTGGGGACAACTCAATGGAGAGAGGGAAGAGGCACACACGGCTGCTGTCAAGTGTCCTGGCTGGGATCTGAGTCCCAGCAACTGTGGTGCTAACAGAATGGGCTCAAAGGGGAAGGAGGGACCCAGGAGCAATGAGATAGGAAGGCCTGTGTTACCCATCATGAAGGTCATAGCTGCCTCCTCAGCTTGCTCAAACTGGCAGGCTGCACATTCTCTGCCCCAAAGAACCAATCTGGATGCCTTTTTAGGTTGTACAGTGTGGGGCAGTTTTGCAAAAGAGAAACAAAATAGGCTAATCTTACAAATACACTTTCCTGAAACCTCTTCTCCATGGTGTCTGGACTGCTCTCACTGGCCCAAGGAACGTTAGGATTTGGGGCAACTGAGCAACTCTGATCCGTTCCTGCTTCCTGCCTTCTGTGTCCCCTCCGTCTGTGCTAGGCTCAGGCTGCAGAATTACCATCCAGGGTCTGACACGAGAGTCTGCAACCAGCAATGGCCCTTTGGAAGTGCTTAGTGCATTTTGATTACTAGAAACACCGTTGTAGTCTGAGAATGGAATTGATCTTGGAAAATGTTCAGCATCCCAGCCCCCAGCAACATGCCACTGGGGCTTGAGCCAGCATGGATGATCCCTACGCAGGGAGGGTGACCTTTTGGCTCTGTCTTCCCCCTCAACACCATGTGAAAGCCCTGCCACGGACAGTCCTGGGCAATCCCTTGCAGTGGAGCTGTGGTCTCACCCAGTCTGGTCACAGTGGTGGGCTCTGTGCCCTCAGACTCTTCCTGCTTTGTCTCGCTGTTGCCTTTGACAAACAAAACTGCCTTCCTGAGTATTCACCAGCCTCTGACACCATCAAAAGCCTGCGATTGATCCATCCACCTCTTTCAATTGAGAAGGAGTAAAAAGAACACTGAGGAAAGTTTATATTGCTAGCATTTTATGCGCCAAGGATATACCTGCTTATGTTACTTGCACAGCTGTTCTCTTCGTGGTACTGTTCTGTCCACTTTGAAGATCGAGGCAAACTAAGGCTTAGCGAAATTTACTCAAGGTCTGACAGCTTGTAAGGCTAGAGCTGCACCCTAGGCACGTGACTAGCTTGAGCACCTCCCCACTGCACAAGAACTGGTCTTGCACACACAAGTACACAACGAGACAGAAAACAGTTTCCACAGGCAGCTGAACAGCTCTTTCCCTCTGATGCTGGAAACCACCCTCATCCCAAGCATTATAAAGCATATTTGCATCTTTTTGGATTTGTGTTTGTGAACAAGGCCTTTCCATGTTCCTCAGGAGCTACACCTGCCTTGATGGTGCAAGTCTTCTCTGCAACCTGCCTCATGGGTACATCCTTCATAGCTCCTCAGAATGGGGAGCCAGGTGAGCTTTCTTCAGTCTTTGGAAGCTCCCAGTAGAGGATGCTAGCAAACGTGGAAGTCTGGGAGAAGGCTGAGTGATCTGAGCAAACATTTATTACCTTGGACCCCAATCTCTATCTGCTATGAAAGGAAAGCTTTTAGTTTCACAGATGTTGCTAATCTCTGAGCTCCTGAAGAACCCAGGAAACCCTCCCTGCCACATCACTGCATCAGGAAGCCCTTAGGAGATCAGCCATTTATTCCCAAGAAACACTCCGAGTATTCACAAGTTACAATAGCAACATCAGCATAAGGATCTCCCAAGGCAGCACTGGGCTAGTACTGGAGTCCTTCGGCACAAAATGTTACATAGCATTTAGTGGGTATCTGAGACCACTGGGTCAAGTTCCATGTGGCTAGATTGCATCACAGCTCAGCGATGTTGGAGGAGGCCCCCTATCCATAAGTAGCAAGGCAGAAAAGATTTGGAAGGGCTGCGCCTGCATTCTGTGGGTCTGGGAATACTTCAAACTTTCTAATACCTCCATTTCTTAAGCTCAAAAAGTTCTATTTCCTTATGTGAGATACAACATTGCCTTCAACTATCTCTCTCCAGTATTAAGGTCTTATTTTTAATTTGCTTGGGACATCTGAATTATGACAAAAAAGTTCCAATTCTCTTGTCTCTGTGCATCAGAATAAAGCCAGGAAGGGCATGATGGCTTGCAGTGGCCTGGGGACACCCCTGTCCTTAGTTTTGAGTCAGGCAGCCCAGGAGTGAGTGACAGCAGGGCATCCATAGTCCTTGCAGAGATGCATTAGATCATTTGTTTGCTGAAGGCTTTTCTGGGTGGTAGCCCAGGGAGTTAGTTTTTACTCCAAAATTAACACTAAGTCTCAAAACAAATTCTCCCCCTACTGCAAGCTAAAAATACAACACAGCAGTTGACTCATGTCCCCACTGCTGTTTGAGTAACGTGGGTGGGTGGGGACCCACCTTTAGGGTGATGTCATTGTTCCCAGAACCTTGAGACAGGGACCGGAAGTGCAGGGCCTGAAGCCTGGCCCTGCTGGTCCCCATATAGGTTCCCAGTATGCCTTGAATTAAGGTATACACATGGGATTTATTTTCCCAGATTTTTGGTACTGATTTAGACCTTGCTGCCCATCACAGGAGAGGAAAAAGTAAGAGATGCACTGTGACAACAGCGGAGCTGGTGATGTAGCTGGAGTGCTTTCTGTCCTGGTCTATGGCAAGGTGATGGTGGGCAATAGCATTTCCTGCCACTACAGTAAGCCAAGAAGAAGCCACTAGGATCCTGTCCATGCTGCAGGTCACCTGCTCTTTTTACCTGGAGTGTGGACTTTCCATATTTCAGTTAGTACTTGACAGTGCATTCACATTATATTTCCTACAATTTTTATGAAACCTGACTAGCTTTGTATTTTACTAAGTTTTGCTTGAAAAATGCACAACAATCCAAGCAATGTAATTTCATTCGGCCCACATCTGCAGGATGAAGGAAGTTGACCTACTACTCCCCCAGATCGGATTTGGAACGAATGTGTCTGGCTCCCGTGGGCTGTGACACATGGGCTAGGCAGAGGGCCACACCCACACACCTGCATGGATAGGTGGGATCTCCAGCGTCGGCAGAAAGCTCCAGGCTGCAGGGCAGTCATGCCATGTGCTGCGGCCTGGGAAGCTGCCATGGGGGAGTGAGCGAGTATGCGGAGAGCGGAACACATGGCCATTTGTGGGTTGGGTCCCCAACCAGCACACACTTTAGGGAATGCTTGTTGAAATGCTTGAAATGAAAGGTGCTTTAATGGATGCTTGTCTTGTATGGTTTGCAAGCAAGAAGGTTTGCAAGGCACACCAAGAACCGAGCCCTCTGAGGGCCCCTTTTTCTGCTGCAAATCAGGACACTGGCCAGCAGCTCTGCTCGCAGTCCAGCACATGGAGCTAAGCAAGCCAATGGGCAGGTTGTGGTTGACATGACTGAGTGAGGGAGGAAGACAGATAACAAGGAACTTACCCTCACTCCCATGAACCTGTCCCTGAGAACGATCCATGAGAGCAAGAACACAAAAGCTTTGTTGCAGCAGAACAACACGGAGACATCCGTAGTATTTATTTTCTTTATTGCATGTAAGTACAGGTAGTTTGTGAGTGTCCAAAGAACACCGAAAGGTGCTGCCTTGGTAAAAAACACCTTCAAAGTCAAGCCATTGTCTCCAAAAAATCGACAGCATTCCCTAAAACAAGGAGAGAGAGGCAGTGTTATTATATTCTTGGGTTGATACAGACCATTTTTTCCCTATATACAGTTTTAAAAAATATAGGAGGGGCAAGGTCTTTTGTTATTTTTTTTTCAGTACTGGGGATTGAACCTAGGGCCTTTTGCATGCTAGCCACATATTCTATCACCAAGCTCTAGCTCCAGCCCTTTTTATATTTAAGACAGAGACTTCCTAAACTGCCCAGGCTAAACTTGAACTTGTGATTCTCCTGCCTCAGTCTCCTGAATAGTTGAGAATATAGACTACTATACTTTTTAATATGACCTATGACAGCTCTTGGAACTATTGCTTTGTTCTGTTGAGAAGTGTCACACAGGGACTTGATAACATAGACTCTTCCGCCAGTTTGGAGTTGATGATTCTACTCAGAGGTGTGATGGAATTATCTCAGCTCAAGTCTCAAGTCCATGGTAGTTGGTAGTTGACTGAATGGATTCTGTTATTTGTTGAGTAAGAGAGGGAAGGTGCTAGATCTTTCTTCTTTTTTAAGTGGGGAAGAGAATGGAGGAGGGATAGATTTAAATTTTTTGTCTTAAAGTGGTCTTTGTGGTCAGGGTCATCACTTCATGAGCACATCTAACACATACACTTTGGCTGTGGTGTGAACAGTGCTAACTGCCTACATATTCTCTGAGGTCACTTTCAGAATACTTTATTCTACCAAAAGGAAGTGCAATGCCCATGTTTCTAAAAGTTTTCCCAACCCAGGAAAAGCAAGTGGACCAAGATGTCAGAGTTTTCAGGAAGAATGAGAAAATATTTGCAGAAGGAAGTTTTTCAAGATATTCTGGATCCTTGGGGGACTGCTCATGGGTATCTGAAAAAGCATTTAAGAAAGGTGAAGCCAGTCCTCCACATGCAGAAGAAAGTTGGGAGACCGACTCCCACAGGGTCTTCCTGACAAGTATGGAGGTAACCACAGACCTGGTCCATGGATAGCTGCTTCCCATCCCAGCTGTTGGGGAGTGAAGACTGACCCTGTGCGGCCCAATGAGACAGCAAAGAGCTAGATGCATAAAGAGGTGCTACCTCTAGGGAGCTCCCTGTGCCTGTTAAAGACATAATGAAGCTCAGCATTCGAGAGTGATGGTGGCTGGTGGGAAGGGTGTCAGTTCAGTGGGGACTTAGAAATAGACTCAGACACACGGAACCATCACGAAAACAAAGAAGAGATGTAACTAGAATGAGCCAAACACTTGAGGATGGAGCATTGTACACCCCTGACCACTTAATATTACAATCCGTGTTGAAGGAGGAAAGTTAGAAGCAATTTCTGTTAATCTATAATAAAACATGTCTTTGTCAATTACTCACTGATGAAATAGCCATGGAAGAGAGAAAACTCATTAGAAAAGGGTAAAGACCTAGGAGGCTGGTAGAATAAGTGCACTTAACATTTTTATAAAATATAGTAAAGTTTGCCACTTTCACTGAGCTCACAGTCCTACATTGCTTTGCAACAGACCAGCACCAGTAAACTTTTCACTTCATGACTTTACCATGCAACTGACTCAACTAGATCACTTCCATTTTGGCAGCCTGCGGATATAACCCTCCTCTTACCAATGGGCTGATATTTCTGTCATCTGGGAAATGTGTATAGAGCATTTCAGCTGCAATTTCCTCCCTCCCTCCCTCCCTCCCTCCCTCCCTCCCTCCCTTCCTTCCTTCCTTCCTTCCTTTTTTCTTTGTGGCCATTATGGCACTGCATGTGGTGCCAGGGATTGAATTGTGGTCCTTGTGCTTGCCTAAGCTTGCCTAAGCAGGCGCTTTAGACTGCTGAGCTATCTCGCTGGCCCCCTCAGCTGCAATCTCTATCGTTTTTCCTCAAGCTTCTATTCATAGAACAATCTGCCTTTCCCCAGGGAGAATGGACAGAAAGAATGGCTTCCTTCATGTTTGTGACTATGGTGGTTACAATGTGCTGCCGACTACTTCAATATAACAACAGGAATATAAGTATTCATTCCTGCCATTAATAACAACCTATTCCATCTATATTTAGCATTTTCTCTTCACAGAAGAATGTGAAACTAGTAGGATTTCCCAGTTCCACTTGACTTGCTATTATACAAAGTGATTCATATTGGGGTAGGGGTTATCCACAGCCAGCGGAAGAGCTACTTTCTCTTTGAGAATTTCATTTGATTCCTCCAATGCCAAGTGGTCAAAAAATGGTGGAGAAAAGGGATAGGACACAGATATATCTCAGTATTTCCTTCCCAACCTGCTGGAAATGGGCAGAGGAATGAGATCACATCCTAGAAGTGAAAAGCCACAGCTTCTGGGCCTGGTACAATTCTGTTGTCTTTTTGGTACTCACGGCCAAAGAATTATACCTAAGCTTAGTGAATCTAGGTTCCTATGAGACCTAGATTGTTGAACCATTATGCTCTGATTTAAGACCACAGGCTTTGGCACTGATCCATGCCAACTGGCTTCCTTATGTATGCCCTGGACTGAAAAAGCAGGTAAAGAGCTCAGGTACACTTCTGGAAGAGGTTTCTTCTTGAGGCCCAAAAACTAGAGTACAATCGATACTGTGTTGAGGAACTTCTGACCAGACAGTCAAATTCAGTTATTTCTTCTACCTACTGATGTCCTCGGGCAGCTAAAAGCCCAAGGCTAGCAGAATGCTGTCCCACATACCTAAACCTTTTGGTTCCTACCAATGGACTGAAGGCCAACAAGAGTTTAGACATAGTTTTGTTTGTTTACAGTTTTATTTGTGCCAGTTGTTCTTGGATGCTTAATTACATAGTTTAATTAAATATTTATATACCAATGTACTACAAATAAGAAATGTTACTCTATAAAATCTAAGTTGATAGCTTCAAGAAAAACAATAAAATGAGGCACTGGAACATTGCTATTGAGTTATATGTTCAGAGAAACATGCTAGAAGTAAGAAAAGACTACAAAAATCTTTAAACTTTGCATTTCTCTTATTTGACCAATATTTATGTTCTTGATACTCTTTAAAGAATCCTAAGGCTGGCCAGATAGCTCAGTAGATTAAAGCACCTGCTTAGGCAGACACAAGGACTGGGGTTGGATCCCTGGCATGCAGTGCCAGCCCTGCCCCCAGGACTCGCTGAGATGGTGAATGAGACTGGGCATGGTGATGCACGCCTGTAATCCAAGTGCTTAGGAGGCTGAAAACAGGAGGATCACTAAGAGTCTCATTTGTGTAGTGAGACCCTGTACTAAATACACAATCAATCAATCAATCAATCAATCAATCAATCCTGACTGCAGAGCCTGTCTTGGTGGGATTAACCATAGCTTATCATTTAAGCCAAATCAACAAATAGTTGTTTACCATTTATTATATTTCCAACTCTACATAAGACACTGGTTGATGTAGAAAGAGGAAAATTTTTTTTAATTATTTTTATTTTTATTTTATTTTATTTTATTTTTTTTTGCGGAACTGGGGATTGAACTCAGGCTATTGCACTTGCCAGGGAAGTGCTTATTCCACTGAGCCACCTCCCAGGCCCCAAGAGTAAACTTTTTAAAATTAATAAACCTTCCTGAATCATTTGCTTTGTAATTTTCTTTACTTTGATTCATTCTTTTACCTGGTTTTTATTTTCTAGGGTTTCTTTAAGTTTAATGTTGGGTCTTTTGGTTTGATTTTCTAATTTTATCTTTCATTTCCTTTCATCCTTTACTTTTATCTTGGCATTATCTTATGAAAGATTATTTCAAATTTATACTCCAGCTCTTTACTAAATTTTAAAGCTTGGTTCTTATATTGATCTCTCAGGAGAAGTCCCTGTGCTTAACATGTGCATGGGTACAACTGGGCAGATAAGGCTGACCTCTCATGAGAAAGCAACACAAACATACATGAAGCAGGAGATTAGGGCACGGCCAGTCGACTGAGCAAGTAGGCGTGACCTACCAATAATAGAGACCCAGGAAGTACACAGAGAGACAGGTCCTAAAGCCCTGCATCTGGCACCACAGGACGCCATCTTTAATTCTTCTCATAAGAACCCAAGCCGGTTTCTGACAGGGTGGCCAAGACCTGACATTGGTCTGAGGAAGGGGAGGTACAAAAGCTGGCTGCCTGTGAACTGTCGGCCACTGTGTTCTCTCCTCCACAGTGGTCTGATCTCCTGCTGATGGGTGTACTTCTTTTCCTCCTTTTCATTGGACTACACCCACTCTGCAGAGAATATTTCTCTTTTCCTACCTTTAGTAAATGCAAAACCTTGCTACCTTTTGTGCTTGTTTTGTCCAGTTCTTTGTTAAGGACAAGAAGAACCTAGAAAATAGCTCTAGAAGGCATCCTCTGCACCCTAGAACCTGGCAAAATAAATACAATAAGATGTTAGACAAAATATAACATTGTACTATGGAATTCCTGCCCAATGTAGAGAGTTAGAAGGATTGGTAAGCCCTTATAAAACATGTATTTTCTGAGTTGAATCTTGAAGAAGACATAGAATTTTGTATAGTGTGGAGGCAGAAATAAGAGCAGGAATTGTGTCTATGAAACAAGAATGAAAGGCTTTACAATGGAAATTAAATATAGGCTAAACAAATTTAAAGATCAGCACAAGACTTGGAATATAAAATCAAAATTGCCTTACACAAAATGACACAGAGAGGGAGCTGGAGGGAGGGAAGAAAGGAAGCAAGAAGGGAGGGAGAGAGAGAGAGAGAAAGGGAAATTAGAGGATTAAAGTAGAAAGTACAATAATAAACTAAAAGAAGCTCTAGAAAGAGGAAACAAAAGTAAAAGTGGAAGAAATAACAAAAGAAATAGTTCAAGAAAATTTCTTAGAACTGAATAATATGGATTTACTTCAGTCAAGGGCCCATCATGTACTAAGTAAAATAACAAAGAATGATTCAAAGAAAATATACTGGTGAGGTAAGACGATAAAGATCTAAAAGCTCCCAAGAGACAGCTGGGCTTGGTGGCTCATACAAGCAAGTTC